AAAAATAAGAGATTTTATGGAAAATAAAAACTATAGAGAAAGTTCTGCTAGGAGGATCTACAGAAAGCCTGTATTGTGAGTTTACAGGCAGGTTTTCTGTTAATTGTTTTTAGTGTTTGCTCATTTGTTTTTGAGCTATTACTTTCAGATTTCTTCAGACTCTTGAGATAACCTACTGCCTATTCTTTTCAACTCAGTGTGTCCCACAGTATGTGAATTAGCAGACTCTCATTAATATTAACTGTAATGTTACTAGGGCATCACCTAATGAGAAATGCACTGTACAGGTGTGCATAAGTAGAACTGGTAGAAGATTTTGAATTCTCCCTAATGCCCTCAATAAATACATACATTCAGAGATGTGGGGTGTTAACTTTATTTGCTGGGCACTCTGACGTGATGTGTCATAAAAGACTACAACTCCCCTGTATCGCCTGTGAAGACCTACTCAATGTTGACTCCAGTGAGCATTAATATGTATTAGGTGAAATGTAGTCACTGAGTACCAGCTGAATGGTACAGATCAGTACTTCTCCTAAAGAAAGCACACTCCTAACTATCCAAGATAGATGCTCTAGAAAACTGAAGTTAACGCTAGTTTCTTCTGAGACATCCATCGACGAGTATGTCCCTACACTGCAGTGGATTTCTCATCAGCCACTCACTTCTTGTTTGAAAAACGGTGTCTTTTTGATTTGGATCTAGTCTGGGCCCACTAAATAGAGTCTATCTTGACACTGAGGCTGTTGCCAAATTGTATATAGCACTTCTGCCTCAGCGAAGGGAAATCGCACTAACCCCTTTGAAGTCTTTGAAATATCAGTGCAGAGGTTTCCCCCACTTATACATATCTAATCTTTGTGCAGCTGCTTCTCTGAGACTGGCAGGTATCATTTTGCATCCCTCAGTGAAAATGCTGTAAAGTGAATATTGAGCTGGTTTCCAGCTGTGCTTATTTAGGTAGGAATATTTTGTTCTGCTTGCAATATGGGCAGCTCTTTGGGATTGTTGTCAGAGTTTTCTTTTGATATAGCTTTGTTATATATAGTTCTTCTGTAAGTGCTTTCAGCATCCATTGTCTTTTTATCCTAAGACGCTTTTTAGCCAGCCTCAGAGAGGGATTTTGTAGATGAATATCTGAACTACCAAACATAAAATGGCTTGAGATGAACTGAGTAAACCTTTTTTTTCAACTAAAACTACATTCATCAGCTTTTTCAATGAACTCATGGAAAAATTTATGCAAACATTTGAAAAAAATTACTTTTTAAGTGCAGCTTCCCTTTTCCCCCAAATAATTCTCCTCTAATTTTAACTTAATATTCATTGAAGTGTCTTTCTCTATCTACTATGTAATAAATCACATATGACTATATATAATAATTATAAATGAAATATAAATTTAATCTGTAACAGTTTTTTATATAATAGATATTTTGCTTGGACTCAAAAGAGATGTTGGTGTGAATTCAGATTTATTTTAATCTGAGTGCACTAAAATATAAATATCTTAAAATTATAGTTATGTTAGGCCAACACAAAGAACATTTCTGATTTTGTTTAAAACACTTACCCAGTGTTGAATGAGCTGAACACTCTAGGGTCAGTCAGATGTCTTTCTTTGACTTATCCTCTTTTTCTGCTAACCATTCTCTCTACACATGTTAGAAACCAACAATTTGTAGCTTTAAATTAAATAGCAAATGGAATACATGTGTTTAATGTATCATTTGTGGACTTATCTATAATTAATTAATTTTAAAGCTTGTGACAATTTAGTGTTCTGTTACTCTCTTGCTATGTGTGATGCATCTTCCTTATTTAAGGACATATTTCTACCTTGGACTCTGTTGTTGATTGCTTAGTATGAATGGTTAGGAAGATCAACAAAATGTATAATAATGTTGATAAGGCATTTTACACCTCAGTGAATCCTACTTAATATCACAAACTTATCTCTCCTATATTCTTATTCTCTCATTTTAGGTTGTTAGAGATGTTTCCATTTTGTCTTGAAAGAGATTGTAATATCTTCTAGACACCGTACTTGTCTTCTGGTGTCTGCAATCTTAAATAACAGGGCCTGTTGGGACTTTTTGGTAGCACTGTGGTGCAATTATTATCATATGGGTTTTCATATGATACACAAAATGGAATTTTTAAATAATGAAATTAAATAATGGCATTCAGAGATGCAACTTTGGGGCTTTGTAGCAGTAAAAAAAAGCTGTATTTGTATTCCTATAGGAGAAATGGACAGTTAACCTTCAGTGCTCATATATATTGTGACTTGTTTCATTTGGATTAATCATTTTTTAAACTCTATTTTCATCACCTACAGGTTACTTGCTTTTGTGAGAGAGACACTGTGGCCCTTTAGATTTCCCCTATTTAGCTCCCTTTAGCAGACTTCTTTTTCTGTCTGTAGCCCCAGTTAGTGGCCTGAACTCACCTAGAAGAACAAAAAGGCTATCATGTGACCCAGAAAATAGACAACAGCAGTTCTTCCAGGTAGGGCAGTCTGAACCTCAACTGAATCTGGGCTATAACCCACATTTCAGTGGAGAAATACATAATGAGCTGTAAGCAGCTCCAGAAGATTTTTAAAAGAGGGATTAGATGATGGACAGCAGGTGAATTACTACTCCCAAGCTACTGTAATAACTTGAGTACATCCATGATGGTCTTTATTACAACAGCAGTTCTTCCAGGTAGGGCAGTCTGAACCTCAACTGAATCTGGGCTATAACCCACATTTCAGTGGAGAAATACATAATGAGCTGTAAGCAGCTCCAGAAGATTTTTAAAAGAGGGATTAGATGATGGACAGCAGGTGAATTACTACTCCCAAGCTACTGTAATAACTTGAGTACATCCATGATGGTCTTTATTTTATTAGAATACAAATGTCAGAGACTTTTCAGCAGGGCCTGTAGGGACAGGACAAGGGGCAACAGTTGCAAACTGAAAGATGATAGGTTTAGATTGAATACAAGGAAGAAATGTTTTAGGATATTTTAGGATGAGGGTGGTGACACACTGGCATAGATTGCCCAGAGAAACTGTGGATGCCCCATCCCTGGAACTGTTCAAGGTCAGGTTGGATGGGACTTTGAGCAACCTGATCTGGTGAAAAGTGTCCCTACCCATGGCAGTGGGATTGTACTAGGTCATCTTTAGAGGTCCCTTCCATCACAACTATTTAATTTTCACTTGAGTTTTTGTTAGACTGCTTTCTATTTGCTTGGCCCCTTTTTCTTCTTTTTCTTTTTTTTTTTCTTCTCCTTTCTTTTATTATAGCTTGTTGGCTCTTACAAAAATGCAAAATATAAAAAAATATTTCATCCTCTTATTCCCCCATTGGACTCATCATCACAATGTCTTGAGGGTAAATTTTGTCATGGAAGGGTGATTACATGCTTTTCAGAACAATTTAATTTGATGTAACAATACTGTAACTGTTGCTAGATCTTCCAGAGAGATTCTGTAGAATATCCACATTAAGTGCAATAAGCAATCCATGTCTCTGTTTGAAGAGTAGCTAACTGTAATTCATTTTGAATAATGCATTTGTACTATTTTAAAATTAGTAAAAATTATCTGAGATCAAGGTAGATTTGTCCTACCAAAGATGAAACATTTTTATTGCTAATGAAATATTGTGATATTCTAAGTACTGATATAATTTCAGAAATGTGTTGAATCATGTTGTCATGGGGAACAGGGAAGTCTTTATCTGCAGAAGGTCTAGTCAAGGGGGCCTAGCATTAAATAGAGTTAATATACAATCTCCAATAATTTGGAGTTCAATGATATTGCTGTTGTAGGTGGGCAGTAAAGAATTCTGTGATACCAAGCCTGAAATCATTTAATCAGGAATGTAAAACAGTTATGTGCTTCAGTTACCAAATGTTGATAGAATTGGCTATGGTAGATTGTTGTTTTTTAATTACAGCTGCTCTGTAATGTTGTTGTGTCACCAGGTTCCAAGAAGGAAAATAGTATAGTATAGCAGTTCCCTGTGCCAAATGACCACTGCAACTGCCAAGTTTAAATACTACCAGGAGTGGGTTCTTCTATAGGATGATAACCACATCCCTAATTAATGAATGCCACCCTTCCTTATATGTATTTATGTTCAGATAATTTTTTAAAATAATGTTCCTACTGCATGCTTTATAGTCTTCTGCCTTTTGCTACACAAATTTTAGCTTATATTGCAGACTGTGCAAGTCATTTGGCAAATGTAATTTCCATCCCTGCATACTAATCGATTTCTTCGCAAACACCTGCTATCAGTTATGATAATAAAAATGCCATTCTAAATTGAAAAGGGGCCAAATGGAGCTTCCTAAGGAAATGGCTTAAGTGTCTTTCAATGCCTTTAATGTAGTAATGTTCTTGTAGTGCCAACACTTTTTTCCAGCATTTGCATTTTATATAATTTTACTCTATTATATCATTTTGCTGTCTAAATGGTTCCTCATAACTGTTGCTATGACGTAGTTCATAGCAAGGCTGGAGAGAAATTTCTGTATTTCCTCTCTCATGGGATTAAATCCAGCAACTTTACAGTGGGAAAATTCCTTAGCACAGACCTGACTGGAACATCAGGACACTATGCTAGTATAAATACTAAATGGTCATATCAGTTCCTGTAACATCACCGGGAAAATGCTGTAAAGTTGGTGAGTACCTTGCCCTTGGATTGCATGCCAGTTTCTTCCTAAAATATATGCCCAAATTTAGCAGCCAGATTGCAAGTAGCATTTGAATTATCCAGGGTCACTATATGGCTTCTTCCATCCCAGGAAATAACTTCCCAGCAACAGTCTTTGCCAGAACTTAATGATTTTCAGCTCTGCTGGGTCTTGTCTCAGCTCTGAAATGTCTTACTGGCTTTCAGCTGTTATTGTCATCTCCCCTGACAATGTCCTCTGAGTTTTTTGTAAGGAAACAATTTGTTTTACTGATTTCTTCACATTTTTCCTTTCTTTTAGCTCTAGCCGCCCAAGCATATGCACTAAAAGAAGAGAACGATAGTCTTCGATGGCAGCTGGATGCTTATAGGAATGAAGTGGAGCTCCTGAAACAGGAGAAAGGACAGCTCTTTCGAACGGAAGAAAGCCTTACAAAGGATCAGCAGCTGCAGTTCCTACAGCAGACAATGCAAGGCATGCAGCAGGTATTGCTAAGGCAGAAAAAAACAGGTCTTCTGTTTAAGAAAATTGGTACCATGGCACTGTGCTGTACTCAAAACTATTATTCATTAAGGTCCTGACTTCTTTTCAGAGTCAAAAATCTTGGGAATGGAAGGGAAAGGGAAGAGGATTTGAGGATATATGTAGGGAGAGTAATTTTAGGAATTCATAACTATAGACCCATTGATCATTCAAGAAAACTCCTTATGCATTTGCTAGTTAGAAGCAAATTACTTCAATACATCCTCTGTTGCTCTCCTCACTTAATCCAACCAGCCCTAAGTCTGCACAAAAGTTAAAAAAAGTTTGTCCAATGTATCATAGTCATGTTCTGCGGTGTGTTCATTTGCATTCATCTGCATCTTCAAATGCATCTCTGCCTCTCAGCTTTCTGGTGTTTTTCTGCACTTGTTTGTGGATGACTGAGTCAGCTCCAGCTTCTCCAGTCTACCTTCCTGATAACTTGCAAATGGTTAGCAACATTTCCTATGTGTGCTATCTCCTACGCTGTTATCATTTATACTGACCCATGGATGTAACCTTTTCATTTAGCTAGTTTCATAAGTGGTTTAACTGCAGCAACAAAGCTTTTTCTTTGACACCAGTCAACAAGAAACTGCAACATGTCCCTGCAGGGGCGGGGAGTATCAGTTTGTCATAAGCATTTTCCCCTATTTGTTGTGCTCCTGACATTTTGCTGGGCAAGTCTTGGCAAGCACATCCATACTGTTCCCATTGCTTTGTCTGACACGTCCACTAACACATGAGCAGCCCTCATTCAACATGCATGTATGTAGCATCTTCCCTGCCCAGGCACTTATGTGCAGCTGATAGATGACAAAACTCAAGGGCAGTGGCTCACTGCACCACTGGACTGTGCTCCCATCTAGAATGGAGCTTCTCAAGATGGCACTGCAGAGCTTAATTTTGCTTCCTTCATCTGTGCCCTGAAGCATTGTATTAGATTCCAGAGGGGACAAGTAGTACCCACTTCCAGACTATACCAAGCTGCTTTTGTACGTCAAAAACTAAGAGATACTCATTTACGTGTGAGCTGCCTGGTTGGGTTAGGAATTGCATGGCTATCATAGTACACAGCAAATCCAGCAAATCTGCAAATCCCACCTAACACCACCTTACAGAGCACAAGACAATCCTATGCATACATTTATATGAACTAAGCCCCTTAAGCCTGCAGAGTTTTACAAAATTAGGGTGACTGTCTAGTGGAATAATTCTGAATAAAATATTTAGAAAATAGAAAATAAGTCATTGATAATTTAGGAATAAAATATTTCGCAAATTTAGGAATTAAGTCATTAATCAGAAACACTTGAGGTTTCCGTACATTTTGGATAAGCTTAAAGTCTGCTCACAACCTTATCCTTATATAGGTAGATACTTAAATATCACTGGTTTTATTAAATTTAACAGCATATATAAATATTGTGCTGTATTTCATCCTGGTGCTAATTCTCCATTAAAATTTGTAAAAAGTGGGCACAGAATACTACTAAATCAAAATGATAGAGCCCTAACACTCATTTTGCATTATTGCAATTTCCTACCTGGGGTCTGGATGAAAGATAATCAAGTCTGTAGAATATAAATAGATTTCTATTGAACTTCAAGCAAATGTTAATAATGCAAGTCAGTAACAGAGAGTGACTGACTTAACTCTCTGTTCAGCTAGCCATGGACACTGTAGTTCCTATTCCTCTGAGGGTTTCTATGTTCGTGACAGTTTTGCTGTGAGGTTCTGATTTTTTCTAGTTTGCCATCTCAGGGTCAGACCTGCTAAGTCCCAATGGGATATAATTAGAGATGGCCCAAGGAGCTGGAGAAGACACTGCAGATAATCCAGTCTGACAATATGCTGAGGAGAGCAGCAACACAGAAGTACAGGAGGTGGAGTTCAGAATATTTGGTGGGAAATTATCAGTCGGTTAAGCAGCTGGATGATGGTTTTGGATTTCAATAATTAGCCATCGTCATGACATCCCATAACCTTTATGATTTTCATGCAGTTCATGCATGAATATTTAGAAATAAACCTTTGATTTAGGTAGACTCAGTTTTATCTCAGCTTGGCCTTGTAAATGTGAGAGATGACAACCTTAGCTGAAATCCATCAGTATAGCAGGTGCTCAGCATCTATGGAAATCAGTCTCACTATGAAATATTAAATATATATCCAGGAATTGAGTATAAATAATTTAACAAGAAGACCTGTATTCCTTTTTATCCTTTTGTATATATTAAAATTAATTTCAGACAAGGTAAACTGAATGCCATTGAATTCCTGAACCCCTCATATATGTCAACCTTAAAAAATGTCTTTCTCCTTCTTCTTTTCATTCTCCCCCACTTTTTCATACACCTCTTCTTCCAACTCTGAAAACTAGAGAAGAGATTTGAGCTGAAGCCTGAAAAGCAGATATATCTGAGAAAAAGTGGATGCATTTTCAGAATTAAGACTTTTTTTGTAAACATATTTGGAGCCAAACAATAGCAAATAACACCAATGTATTTTTAATGTACTTGTACTATCTGGATGTTTTTCAGATTTCTTTCCTATATTTGCAGGACTGATGAAATGAATGTTTATTTTCTCTTCCATCACTCCTACTGATCCAAAGTAGCATCAGTAAAATCACACAGATGTTCACTTGTGAAGTATACCTCATGGGCAGTAGTAGCAACCTGCTTATTTACTGTGTCTAAAAAAAGAAAATCCTTTGGACTAATGACATTGAACATGGATGTTTTGGACAACTTCCTCCATAAAACTGTGTCACAGTTTAATTTCATACCCACTGTGAGATCTCAAACAAATGGAAATAATGTCTTGTATCCATGGTAACAAATGAGATACACTTTACCTGATTTTGAGATGGAAATTGAATTAACTTGTCATTGCTGCATAGGTGGTATTGCCTTCAATTTATTTCTATATGAGAACACACATACCAAGATCACTTTTTGAATGGGTCTTTTTCTAGCAGTGTTTGGTGTTCTCTAACAAAGTCTGTGATCACAAGAAAGGATGTTTTAGTTGTAACTATTTTTGCAGCACTTCACAGCACAGCTGTAAGAATTTTTTTTATCTTGTCTCTCTGTCTGAAATGTTTTACCAGATACATGACTATAGGTAATGCAGAAAATATCACCTAGTAGTGTTGCTTAATGCTTGCAATTATAAGGCTCAGTTTTTAGTGGTTATATTATTTTAACCATTTAGTTTAGCATATTCCATGTGGAGCAGCAAGCAGAATTCTTTTGAAAAAAAATCTCAACAAAATCTTTCAGCTATTCCAAGAACAAAGCATGAAAAATATGCCTTTATTGTTTGTTGTCCCATCAAAGATAATTCTTGAGGAAATGCACTTGCCACTTTTATGCTTTGAAACAAGGGCTCAGAATTTGACAGCGAGTCTCTATTGAATTAATGATGGGGTTTCCAGATTCTTATAAAATCTGTCTGAAATTGATAATGTTAGCAAGCCTTTGAAAAATGTCACTTTGCCACATAGGAGATGACACTCATTAGCATATGTCCATGTAAATTTTAGATTTTTACTGGTCATCCAGGGTTGTTCATGAACCACCTCCATAGCACAGCCATCAGTGCAATGCCTCAAATTAGTCCTATGTCTACAGAGCACAACTCCTTTAGCATGACTCTCTAATTTAACAAGCTAGCTCTACCTTGTCAGGCTTCACTGGCCAAAGTATGGGGCTGTGCTTGCATAGCTGTACTGATTCCTGAGCTGGTACATTTGCCAACAGGCTGGTAAATCTGCGTGGTGCTTCATTGCATCATGTAAATGTATGATAACGTTCTTTCCCCTCATAACTCCCTGAGCATGATGGGCTGAATTTAAGCTCCTGCCGGGAAGAGTGTCATCCAGAAATCCCCACTTAAATCATGCTTCTATCTATGTTATCTCCAGAAAATGCATGCAAGTGCCTACAGTTCTGTAATTGCACATGCTGAGGTATATCTGGGACATTTGAGAGGCACCTCATTGCCTCCATTCCCTAAGGGGCCTGATTCATTTGCTGAGCTTGGGATCATACTCGTAACACACAGTGACAGCGTAAGATCCCCTTCGTTGGCAGTGATGCTTTAAAGCCTAGCCATGGGGTTATTGCATGAGCAGGGGATGCACAACAGTGCCTCTCTTAAAATTAGTGCTCGAGGTGGAAAGCAAGAACAAAGGGAACAGTTGTGGGTGGTAGGTGTAGGGCTGACATAAAGGCTGATACACTGCTGCAGGTGCCACCAGCTCAGTTATCTCAGGATGTCTCAGTAGGAGACTGAACATCTTCTGGCCCTGTTGATGACCCACATGGGTGTCACTCTGATACAGCGTGATGAAAGTCCACTTTTGACTTGTCTTCTTTTTCCCCCCAGACAATACCAATTTCACTTGAATAGCAATGCAGATTGTGAACATGAACACTCAAAGGGCAGGAACTACCAGAACCACTGCTTGTGCATTTTGCTTTTTATACCTCAGAGACCTCTCCCCACTCAGTCCTGCAGGCAGAGAGTACACAGTCAATCATCACCTCTTCAATACCTTTCTGTCCCTGCTGTTCAATATGCAACTCAAGGTCTTATTGCAAAGGCCACATTGCTTCTGACATTTCCTACCTACTGAGGACTAGCTTTTGCAGTTTACTGATCATTTAGCTTGTAAAATAGATAGCACATGCATCTGAGACATATACCTTTTTTTTAAGGGTTCTGATAAATGCCAGCTGACTAGCAATCATAACATCACAGAATCATTAAGGTTGGAAAGGACCTTGAAGATTATCATGTCTAACCATTAACCCAGTACTGCCCAGTCCACCACTAAATCAAGTCCCTGAGCACCATGTCTACACATCTCTTAAATACCTTCAGGGATGGTGTCCACTTCCCTGGGCAGCCTGTGCCAATACTTGACAACCTTTTCAGTGGAGAAGTGTTTCC